CCACCGACAGCAAGTTCCTCTCCTCCACTGTCAACTCCACATCCATCTTTGCCACCTTCTTCATCGATCCCACCATCTCTGTAAGAAAATCAGATTTGTAATTATTTTTCATTCTGTATTGATCACACAACTGAAAATGCAATATCACAAGAATTGAGAAAAATTAAATCCAATACTTTAATAAACTATTTGAATCACTAAAGACACAGGAAAATTAAAGAAAAAATATTGAAAGATTTCAAATAATTCGTTTGATAGAAGCTACGAAAAACCTCACAAAATTAGAAAATTATGAACTCCTTAAAGATCAAGTCAAATACTAACTTACAAAGCGAAATTAAAAGGCTGATTGCAACTTAGCCCCTTCTAATAAGTAATTAATTATCGGTCAGTATCTCGAACAAAATATTAGCTAACTCAAGTTCAATTTCTCCAAAAAAAAAAAAAATCATAGTTCTACGAATTATACGAAGCATGATTAGAAATAGGATCTACATATACTTCACTAGTTACATTTACATGCATAAAAAAATTGTGCGAGCGTGAGGGATTTACCATCGTAGCGTTCGGCTTGCTCGGCGAGCTTGGCCAGGTAAACGGAGGTTTCGCGATCTGAGGAAGAAGCCATCACCGATCCACTGGATTGAAGTACTTTCTCTCTCTAGATTCTGACACTAACAATGTTTTTACTCGACCGCGAATTTCACTGCCGAAGAGAAGAGTGAAGAGGAGTAGTTGAATTTCAGAGCAATGATTGATTGCGTGACCCAGTTTTTTTCTCCTGTAATTCTCCCTCCTATTTCTACAATTCCAACGAAACACGCGTTTTTAGAAGCAATGCACTCAAACAGTGAAACTCCCCCCTTTTGCAAGAGCTTATTTGGTAACACTAAAAATTCAATTAAAATTGAAAATATAATCGTTATTGGGTCCCACCCGTCTAATAAAAGTCAACAATAATGGCTAATTTTTCAATTTTAATCCGATTTTAATCTCTACCAAACATACTCTAAATCGTAACTCCAATAATCCGTGTGCAGAAAGATAAATATTTTTAATTTATTTATTTTCTTGCAAAAGCAATTTGGCATTTAACTCAATAAGAAGTGAGTAATGAGAAAAAGGGAAAGAAAAATTTAGGGTTTGTTCTCTTTATCATTTTTAAATCGTTTTCTATTTTCGATTTTTCAAAACAGTGAAAAGGCGTTCTTTTTCTCATTTTCGAAAATGCGTTTTTGAAAATAAGTTAAAAATTTACAAAACAATTTTGGGTGTTTTCAGTTATAATCAGTCAAAGTTTTGAAAAAACATCTTGGGTGTTTTCAAAACAATTTTTTGAAATGTAAAAAAGAACACATATTTAACAATCTCAAAATGAACACTCAAAATACAAAATTCAAAATGAATTCAAAACTCAAACACAAAGAGAGAACAGTCCCATCAGAACACTAATTTCTATTTAAGTAAACTAACATGTTTTGCACTAGATGCGCATAATGTAAATTGTAGCTTGGACGAGACTATAAATCAATTAGCATGTGTCTTGAAAGACGAGCGTAATGACTTACTGACATAGACATTTCGGACATATAATAAAGAACGTTAGTATTTACATTGTTGCTCAAGTTTTTTAGTTAAGTACTAAAGACAAATCTTTTCAATCAACAACATCAGATACGATTTTTTATTTTTATTTTGATAAATTGGTAAATTCAAACGTGAAAAGTTAAGAAAATAAATTTAAAGTAGATTTTTTTGGAAAAGGTGCAGATTTTCTCATTCAGTTCTGTAGCTCTGATGTTTTTTGGTGTGGGGTTTATGATTACAATCATGTTACATGTACATTGTCTTTGACATCAAGTTCGACATTGTGCCACATGTTACAGCATGATTGGTTAGTTTGAAAATAAAACACACTTTCCCGTCACTTCATTTTTGAATTTGTAAAGGAGCGTCAAACTCCATGTACATAAGGAGTGTACAAGGAGCATAATTCTTATGATTAATCTTCTATATTTATGCAGACTTTAGTATTTTCCTTTTTGAGATTTTGGAAATTATTTTATGAGCTTTCTTAGCCTATATAATCACACTTGTGACTCAAGAAATATATGAGAGAGCATATATGAAATCTTAAAATAATAAATTATCTCGATAAGAATTCACTTATATAATTTCACGTCATTGCTGTAAAAAATGTGATTAGTTATTACTGTTTTATACTTTTATTAAAAAAAATAAGTGGATTTTTTCAACGAGTGGGAAGATTTAATTTAATTTTACTGTATGTTTTAGGTGTCATTAAAAGTTGATTATAATCTACTTATCATGAAAAAAAGTAGCAAATTCGGAGAATGGTTGAATATCCTGATTGAAAAGGTCATCAAACCTTACTTTCCTTATACCCGTAAGAATTTGCTACTTTCCTTGTACCCGTAAGGTAAGTGCGTGATAAAAAAAACCCCTATATAACTATAAAACTCACAGTACAGACATCAAACTGTTTCTGTCTAGAGAATACCCAGAAAATTTTGAATCCAACTTCAATTTCCGAAGAGGAAACGATGAAGTTTCACAGGGCTGGTGAATTTGTGGAAATAGCCAGCAACGAAGAAGGCTTTCTTGGATCTTACTACGAGGCAACGGTGGTGGCGACGGGGCAGTTAAGGAAAGAATACATGGTTCAGTATCATACTCTATTGAAGGATGACATGTCTGGGCTGTTAAGAGAGATTGTCCCCGCCTCCGAGGTCCGTCCGCCGCCACCGGAGATTCCGGTGACTGAGTTCAAACTGTACGATCAGGTCGATGCTTTTGACAACGACGGATGGTGGGTTGGGACGGTCATTGCGAGGTTTGGAGACAAGTATGTTGTGTATTTTGAATGTTCTTCAAAAGATGAATTTGTTTACGATTCTGAGAGGCTGAGAATTCATCAAGATTGGGTTAACGGCAAGTGGGTTCTTCCCAAGAATCAAGTCAGGAGATTTTTTCATTAGGCTGATAACTTTTTCTTGTAGGAAATTCTGCTTATTTTTGGTTTTCACTTTTGCTTATTGATTTTCAATCTGTTTCTTTAGTTTTTCAAGACTAATTGAGTAAATAATAATAGATTTTCAAGTTTTATTCTATTTCTGCTATGCATTATGATCTGTTTCTTGGGATTTTTATGATCTGTTTGCTTATTGATTTTCGATCTGTTTCTTGAACAAAGCTCTTGCGAAAGAAATAAGTGAAAATATTGTTATATGGGTTGAGCCGAGCCATTATCCTCTAATTTTAACGATTAAAGGAGACTCTAATCCTCTTGCTTAGATACGACTTGAATTTTAATTGGTTGATTCAATGACAGCAGTCTCTAATTTAAGAACTTGATTTGGCTAATTATAGAAAATATTAATTTCAAGTTAGTTTTTCTTATAAATAAATAAAAAATCGAAATATTGATGAAAATTATGAGTTATTGTGACAGTAAAATAGGTCAATATGTGCCCCACGTCTAAGTTGTTGGACTTTGAGAGTTACAGGTATGGCAATTTTCTGAAGTAAAAAAATACAAATTTTACTCAGGGATTTAGGTCATTTAGCATGTGGAAGGGACCTCGGCGTTGACAAAAGGGAAAATTGTGCGAGTTTGAACCTATGTCAGCTTCTGGAAGAAAGAATTATGGAAATTTTAAAGTTGCCTTTTTAAGTGAAAAATACCTAGAGAATGTGAAAAATAGGAGTCATGATGTACAATGAAAGTTGATGCAAAATCATGAACAGACTGGGGGCTGGATATTATTGGTGAAACAACAGTGGAATATTGGAAATAGATTTTGATTTTGATTTTCATTGTCTTTTACTTTTTTTCAATGAAGCGATTAGTTTGATTTTCTGGAAATTGAGAGAACTCAACACAAAAAATTCAAGGGCACGATGGTTTTGTTGATGCGACGGTGGATATGGATTTTAGACGTTGAAGGTTGTTTAATTGAGAAAATAGTAACACATATTACTCTACAAGTAATACAATATTGATGTAAAAAAAAATTAAATAAAATTTAAAATATTTTATTGTTTTTCTACAAGTAACATGATAACACATACGCTGCACATCAATGTATAACCCATAAAAAGTTGATTTTTAATGAAATATGGAATTGTTGAATTTCAAATGAAAATAAGGTATGTTTAAAACCTATAAAAGGAAATAAATGAAGATATTGATTTTCAATGAAAATATGTATTTTAAAAAAGGTTATAAAAAGAGGTAGCCTAAAATTTTCGGACAAAAGTACTGTATTTATGTAGTTATATGTAATTTGAAATAACTCGTGGCTTAGTCGTTCTTTCAGTACTTAACGCATGTTCAAATAGGACCGTGTGTGATACGTTTTGTCTTTAACATTCATTGTCACGTGTTGTCAAATATTTCATGTGCACAAATTCCATAAAGTCAAAAGTTGGTGATTGTATTTACGGTAATTGATATAAAATGTTCCCATCGTTTGCCATCCTTGCAACAATCTTCCCTATCATTTTAATTTTAATTGGGTAATTATATTCACGCCACAAATTTTATTTCTTGATCACATTCTAATTACAGTTAAAATTCTTAATATTTACTCATTATAACATTCATGTCCCTAAAGATTTTTCATATAATTCATATCCATAACATTTTAATTAGTTTAACACATTTTGTATTTGATAATTGTTTTATGTCAAAAGGTTTGTTGAAATAACGTAAAATAACTTATTTTTTCATCATATTTTTAAAAGATAAATAAAAAAAATGCCAAAAAATATTTTTTTTCTATTTTATATAAATCATCTTCAAGGACGATATGTAATAATTAATGGAAGATTGAAGATAAGGATTCGACTGAAAAAAGTGGAGGAAAACAATTGCTACAATGAGCAAAAATTGAGAAGTTTTATTACAATTAAAATGTGGTATTTGAAATAAAAATTGCGTTGGTAATATAACCATTCATGTTAACATTGTGCCCCTGTATCAACCTTTCCATCTCCTTATCATTCATTTACTCAATAAAATAGATGCGTTCACTTCACCCATCACATTTAATAAGGGTATTTTGGTCAAGTCACTATATCAAACGAAAATGAGTTTACGAAATAAAAGATTGATACGAGGACGTAAATGTCAAAATTGAAAGGATAAAAACGATTATTGCAAAAGTAATAAATAAAAATGTTATTTTATGCCAATTATCCTCGTATACATAAATGTTCAAGTGCATTTCATATGTGACCATTGAGCTTCAAAGTCCTTGAAATTTCTACCTTTATGTGAACTTGAAATTAACTGAAAATGAACAATAGTAAGAAAGACAAAGCATAATTAAACCAAACCAACAAAATAAATGTTTCTGTTTAATATTTTCTATCTTAAATCAAATTAATTAATAATATAGGAAAATGTTTCACGTACATAAATATAATACTCTATTTAAAATATAATATTTTATAATTATGTCATGTTTTAATACTTTAATTTTTTATGATATCAAGGTAATTCCATAGTTAATAACTGTATTACATTATTATTGATATTTTATATATTTTACTAGTCAAATTTTATTAAAATAAAATAAATATGAGTATTTTATTAGATACATAAATAAACAAAGTATTCATGTAATTATTAATTCAAAATAAAATATTATAAAATAAAAAATCTGTAAACAAATTACAAAAAATGGACAATATTTGGGTGGAATATATCTTCTTCTCTATCACAAGTGAATCCCCTGCTGGTATTTCCTATTTCAGTTCCCGTGCCCCCGTCCCCCACACAGTCGCACACAATGGCAGTAGTAGTGAATTGCTACCTCTCAGTGACTTCAACAGCCACACCCACATCTGAAGATTCTCTACAGCCAACAATCACAAGGCCGCCGACCAAGGTCATACTGCCCAAGAAAAAGCCTATGAAATGGTCTACAGGGGTGGCTCCGGGTGAGTACGGGGGCCCACCCACCACAACGAAGCTCAGGAAATACTGGGGTGGAGATGAGGACCCTCTTGCCTCTGATGACTACTTGTGGAACAAAGACTTTATGGGTCGAATGAAAAAGCTCATTCAAGACCCTGTCGATGTCGACACTAATTCTGACCCTCGATTATCATCTGCAAAGGTCCAGTATTTTGCCAACTGATTATTTTGGTTTGTCATTATCTAGGTTTTTTCGAGTTATTTATATTGTGGGTTTTGTTTTTGTTGTTGCTTTTCTATGAGAAATTAGTAAAAATGGGGAACTTGTAGCGCTTGTTGAGATTAATTGTTTTGGAATTTGGACAATACTGCTTGTTGAACATTGTTTAGGGACGTCTCTCTGTGCCATTTTCTTTCCTTCTTTTGAGAGAGAATTTCTAGAATTTTCTGCTTGTCTAATTACTTGAATGTTCTGCGAAGTACTGCTTATTTAAGTTTGCAGTTTGATTCCGTAATTGTTTGTTCGGATTTTTACCGAAGATTGAAATTTTATTGCTTTTGATTGATAAATATATTGTCCTTGTATCTGCACTGAATTTGATAAATTATATTGTTGTGGTACGTTTCTGAGCAGGAAGAGCCTTCCGGATTTCTTAGCTTGAACAGAGTCATGAGCCTGGACAGGTACACAACCTTTTATTTTTGGAACTTGTTAGTTTATTTTGTCTTCAATTCCTATACTGCTTTCCCGTGTAATATTTCCACTCTTTGAGGATGCAGTTTGGAAATTGACTTGAGCAAAGAGTTAACAGCGCCTTCAAGATCTGCGGTTGAACCACAAGTTGAAGAAATTCAAGTGTGACAGATTTTAAGTACCCTTTGAAAAAATATTCTGTAAAACTAGTTTGCATTTGTTATTTTCATACTCATCAGGATTGAATTGATATGTAGAGTAATAGCATTGCTTCTCGAAAATGGAGACCAGCCCCAACACGACGTGAGCTAGAGAAGTGGGACAGAGCTACTAAAGCTGCTACTGGTGGCAGTGTATGTAGTTTCATTTTGGATATATAATTTTCTTATCATCTTATATGCTTAAAGTTCTGTTTGCTTAAAACAAAGTGCTGATTTTCAAGCTGAATATATATAGATAGATAGATATTGTATTTTTTTTAAGAAATCCTTTCACGTTAATCCAAGTTTTCTTGTTCTGCAGGAAGTGATGTTTAGGGAATCAAAGCGTCCCAGAGGGGACCCAGAAGTGTTGGCTGCTCAGTCAAGGGAACAGTACTATAAGGTTTTTTGAAGAAAGTTTTAGCTTCTACATCCTTAAGATCTTTAGTTGGAAGTTCCATTCTCTCCTTTTAATGTTTTTGCAGTTGAAGAATAAATTGCAGTTCCTCACACTGGGCATTGGTGGTATTGGTGTAATCTCAGCCTATTGTTCTTATTCTCCAGAAATTGCTGCAAGGTAAGTACCTTACTAGTATGCGTTTCAGAATTTTTGTATGACTATTTCTTCAACCTTGTGAAATTAATCTGCGATATATTTGTGAATGAGACAGGATGTTTGACATCCGTGAAACTACTACCTTTTTCATTAACCATCCTTTGCAAATGACTTGTTATTTGAAACCGGAATTCTGTATTTATTTATTTTATTTTTAATCCTTCTTATGTTGACACTTGCTCGCTGGAGCATTTTCAGTATAACAGTAGTTTGCAAAGACGTTCTGACTGCCAGTATGTAATCATAATTCTCTTTTGTTCAGCTATGGTGCTGGATTTCTTGGTTCTTTGGCATACATGCGAATGCTTGGAAACACCGTGGATTCTATGGCGGATGGAGCAAAAGGACTTATCAAGTATGTCTTTTTGTACTCCATGGGTTTCAGAATCTTGAGATAATGGGTTTTCTATGAACATACCACAATGTTAATTTAGTTGCCTCTTCATGTACAAATTCGTTTATTTATAAAATTTCTCTTCGACGCGGTGTGCTTCTCTGTGGCTGAAAAATCCATATTTAATTGATGAAATTTAGCCCATGTTTAAGCCTCATTCTCCAAACTCATTTTTTAACCACATTATCCAAATAAAATAACATCGCACATTCTCCAAAAAATAATATCAAAATGTCAAAACCTATTTTTTGTGGAAAATAGGGCTCAAACAGATGCTTATTTTAATTTTACACTGAATGATGTAATATAGTTTGCTTGTGTGCCTAGAATCCCTTGTATGTCTGGACATCTATGGCATGACAACTACTTAAGTGGTAAATGTGATGGTTTGCTGGCTATTGGTGATGTTTTTGAAATTGCAAACCTTAACATCGGGTTTTTGAAGTATGCCTGCTTCAGCTTTTCACTGTAACCGGTCAATTCTATCATAGCCGACATTTGAGTTTTTTCTGGCTTATTTCCTCTCTCTCTCTCTCTCTCTCTCTCTATGAGTAACAATCATCTGAATAGCATACCAACTGTAACAGTTTGGTTAGAGAAAATAAATCTTGTGATGAGCTTTAAAAGTACTTAAATGCCAAACATACCAGGCCTGTCTTTCTTGGTGAAAGGCCAACTGGTTCTGACATTTAAATATGACTTGCATTTACCTTCTGCATCTTGATCCTGCAAATTATATCGAGATAGATCTTATGGACAGAATCATGTGATGTCCTGCACTGAATAATTGTATGTTTGCATCATCAAGGATGGCCTTGTTACTGCTTGATCTCAACATTGAATGAATTTTATTAGGCACCCTAATCGTGACTGCTACAGAACTTTCTGGTCAAAATTCAATTAGTGGTGTAACTGGACACAATCCTGTTGCTTTTTGCTGAGGGTGACATTTGTGATGCATAATTTTGAACTATTTCTTATATTGTAGTTAATAGTTTTTTTTTCCCCATGGTTTTCGCTTTTCCCAAGTACAAGTTCTTGTGCATTTTGAAAAATAAGCCACTACAGGTCCATGGAGAAATTTTATGGAAATGTTTACAATTGCAAAAGCAACAAGAAACTAAGCTTCTTTTACAATGAGTTTTGGGCCGGCTACATGAATCCTTCTAACTCGAGGATGTCCTACATGTTTTTGGGTTTATTAACTTTATGCTATGAATTTGTCTCATTTCATTGTGGACATTCTATATTTGGAAGATCAGAGATGACCTACTAGGCTCCATCTGGTCTTCTCATCAGAACTTTTTACTCGCAGGGGAGCTATTGGCCAGCCAAGGCTATTGGTTCCTGTTGTCTTGGTCATGTTATATAACCGGTGGAATGGGTAAGAACTTAGAGAGTGCATATGTTCATTCAAATATCTCCTTACCATTTCTATGTCAGTTCTTGGACTGTAGTCAGGTATCTCATTAGGTGGTCTGTACACAGGATTTTGGTTCCGGATTATGGATTCATGCACCTCGAATTGATACCAATGCTCGTGGGATTCTTTACGTACAAGATTGCCACTTTTTTCCAGGCTATCGAGGAGGCAATAACTGTGGCTAGTGGAAAAACACAAGCTTAATTTGGCTTATTTAATTATATTTACATTTCATTCATATTAGTTATTAGTGATGATGGAAAAACTCATGTATACATGCGATGTTTTATTCATATTATTTTCCTTAAGTAAAACAAAAGTTACATATTTTTCGAGGCAACAATTCAGCATATGTACTTCTCCCCTGAAAATGCTCATCAGTTTTGCTTTTCTTGGTAGCAACTAGATGTGGTAACGCATAACTGTGTAGTTTTGATTCTTTTGAATATATGGACATAACTTCAAGCTGAACACATTTTTCTTAATACTGTTTTTACTATTTTTCCAGAACTTTTAAGGGGTAAATTCCTTCTCCAACTTTTCCGGAGAGTGACATAAAATCTCTCCAACTTTTAATTTGTGCCATTCCATGTCCCCAACCTTTTATATTGTGCACACGGTGTCCCAACTCAAAAGAAAACATTTAAATAGACGGTGAAGGTTACGCGATAGGCACATAAAGACCCATTAGTCATTTATCGCATGCGTAGCACGTGAGTGTAAATTTTTTTCCTAACTTATCCACCAATTATTTTTACCTATATATAATATAAATCGTTTATAAGCACTTCCTAAACATGTATAAGTAACTTGTCACTATTGATGGAAAGAAGTCACAATTCAACAAAAGGAAGAGATCTTCATTTCAAAAATAAAATAACAATTCCTCAATGTCTGTATTATTAACCTTTGACGCTTCCTCACAGAGCATTGTCATGTAAAGGTGGCAACAAATGACCAAAATACATAAGTTTCGAAATACACAAGTTTTAAGATTTTATTTGGGTCAAGCTACTTGGTTAAGTACATGCTTACAGACAAATTATCATAAATTTTCCAACAAACGACTGCCACGTTATATGACTCGATATTTCCTTATAATTTAACTGATGCCATATATCTAGCAAAGGCAAGATGACCCGACCTTAACCCGTGTTCTGCATTCCAGCTGCAATACCCTTCATGGTCAAGATAAGTGTGTCTTCCAACCCGGGAGCATACTCGCTTTTAGGGTTAAGCTTCACCAGTTCAGCAGCCGGTTTGCTCATATCCATTTCCATTATCTCTTTCGAGAGATGTGGCCTCACCTTTACACGGTAACTTGGATCACGTATCTGCTTCAATGTGTAGACTTGGCAGACGTTAAGGATGGTTATATATGGATCCCGAAGTCGGAGTCTCTGCCTCAAGTAGGGATCTCCTTCAAGAAGTTCCTTGTGTCCAGCAACCTAAGCAGAGAGACCATATCAGCTTCCCACTTTCAGCATATTTTGCATTCCTTCCATTAAATGGAAGTTGAACTAATCAACTAATCATAAACTAGTAGCAACTGAACTTCTTTATCATTACCAAACTAAAAAGAGCAATGCGCATGCAAAACAAATAAATAAAAATCCACCACGAATTCTCAGCTCAACCTTCCTTTTTCACCTTCTCTTTCGTGGAAGTTGACAAAAACCAACCTACACCATGTCAATTTTTAGCATACTCGAAAACTAATTACCATGTATTCACAAAGAAAAGCAATACATTGGAAGTCTTCTATTTCATCTTTCATGTACCACGAATTCTCAGCTCAACCCACACGATAGGGCAAAGCGTGATGGAAAACAACATTAGCATTCAAATGAAAGTTGTAACACAGTAATGTTTTAGTGAATAAAGGATTTTAAATGGAAGACAGCCCTTACCTGAAGGATCAGATTCTTAGTTTCTTCATAATTGTTACCCAGTTGCTTTCCAAATGGCCACAAATCTTCTGACACTAAAAGCTTGTCATACAAAGCAGCAATTTCTGGGTCTCCTTTGGCCAAAACCATTTCAATCAAGTCAATTGTCACTCTGAAGAAAGGCCATTCATTGTACATATCCTTAAGAGTCTGAAGATTTCTAATATCCTTCCCAATGGCATGCTTGATTGCAGCACCAAAGCCAAGCCAGGCAGGAAGATGAAATCTCGTCTGCGTCCATGCAAATATCCATGGAATGGCTCGGAGTGATTCTATTCCACCACTAGGCTTTCTTTTTGATGGGCGGCTCCCGATGTTCATCCGACCATACTCTAACTCAGGTGTTGCCTGCAACACTCAGAAAGAGAAAGAAACAAGAAAATTTTACAAAAGCCCCATTCACCATATGTGTAAGCCAACAATTATCAGTCTTCTTTAGTCAAACTGCCAACTTTGATGCCAACTTATATTTCCACGTGTAGAAGTTGCCATTCGTCAATCTAAACCTATTAAGTTTACTGTGTTTATATGTGATTTTCTTGCAGATTCTGACAAAAAAAAACTAAAATATATAAATACTTACGAGGCGGAAGTACTCAACAAATCGAGGTTCCTGGAAAACTACAGAACGATACTCTTTTGTGGCAATCACAGCCATCTCATCCATGAGAGCACGCCATTCTGGCTTTGGTGCAACAGGTGGGTGCATTCCATGCTCAAGTGTAGCTGCAGTAAAACGTTGGAGTGTTCTGAAACATAAGTGCTCCTCGCCAAATGATTGTTCAATAACTTCACCTTGAACAGTGACACGAAGCGACCCGTGAATGGTGTCTGGTGGCTGAGATAATATAGCAAGATGAGTTGGGCCACCTCCTCTTCCAACTGTCCCACCTCGGCCATGAAACATTGTGAGCTTTATGCCGTATTGCTTTGCTACCTTTATAAGCTCCTCCTGGGCCTTATATAACTGCCATGCTGCAGAAAGCCGTCCAGCATCCTTTCCTGAATCCGAATACCCAATCATGACTTCCTGTTTCCCATTAATCCTATTACGATACCAATCTATAGAGAAAAGCCGAGCCACAGCAGCAGGTGCAGCCTCGAGATCAGCAAGCTTTTCAAACAACGGGACAACCCTTAGAGGAATTTTGACACGGCACTCGCGTTGTAAAAGCTCTACTGCAAGGACATCAGATGGGGCAGTTGCCATGGAAATTATGTAAGCCCCAAAGTTATCTGACGAGAGTTCAGCAATGACATGAAAGGTGTCTAAGACATCAGCAATTTCTTCGGTTTTGGGAAGATCGGGCCCAAAAAGAGGGCGTTTGCCACTAAGTTCAGATAAAAGCCACTCCTGTCTGCGTTCTTCTGACCAGTCTTTGTACGACCCGATCTCCAGGTGCCTTGTAATAGCATCTAGAACATCAGTGTGCCTATCTGACTCTTGCCTTATATCAAGTCTCACGAGTGCAAGCCCAAACGTGGAAACTTGTCGTAAGAAATCAAGAAGGCTTCCATCAGCAATTGGCCGATCACCGCAAGCACAGAGTGATCTATAACATAGCTCAAGAGGCTCAAGAAACTGAAGATGAAGAAAATGAACCATCAGTATGCAGTATTACATAAACATTACACAACACAAATGCATAACTTACACTGGAAATACAGTTCTATTTTCTTGCAACTTCACTATTTTTGGTGTTCGTGGATCACAATCAAACTAAAGAGACAAAATGCAAGCTAAATGCATATTGAAATGTTTGCTATGAATGTATACTATTTATATAACGAATCCATCATTAAATTCTTCGGAATTTAATTTCTCTTCTCTAATTGGTTTCTCATGTACTGAGTATCTTCAATTAGCTACGCTCTATTGTCAATATGGCACTGCATCCATCACTACATTCATCAGCACTAGTTCCTCCCAGGAAACATTTCAAAAGTATTCCGTGAGAATGTCATGTATGATTACTCTCCTCTATCAGAAATTTTCGCTCTCAAAAAGCATAAACTCCATTCGACATGCTTAAATTCTCCATTTGTAAGTAATTCAAAACAAACAAACCTCGAAGCGAGATGGATTAAACCAATTAATTAATTACTTGCCACTTAAAATAACCTATACACCGTACAAGGTGAAAAGGCATTTGTTTACTTTTATTTTTATCATCTATAAAAGAGTGTATGCTGTAGAATGAGTTGGCATAGAGTGATAATATATTAATCCACTGAGATTGTTGATCAAGCATTCAAGCCCATAGGCAATTGCGCATAATAAAGCAATAACAGCAATAATGCATCTCTATAATACATCTAATGTTTAAAAATATTCGTGTCAATTTGTTCATAACTTGCAAGCTGAAAATTAAAATGTGAGCGAATTAGCAAAGATAGAAGTTCTTGTCAGGGTTAGACCTCATCCACATGGGTGAAGGTTGCCTCCTCTGGAATATCAGAGATTCCATTGGCAAGCAATTGACGAGCACGTTCACGTGTATGATATAGCTTGTCCCTCACATCAGCAAGAATAACACGATAAGGTTCATTTGGCGGAATTTGCTTCCAAAACTCTGGTATCAAACGTGAGAAGAAATATCAACAAGACAAACAGAAACACACCAAAAAGAATACAAAAGGTAAATGAAGAAAATAAATAAATGCTATCACCAATGATAGATGGGAAATATTTGAATAAGAATGTCAGTTCAAAGTGGACTAAAGATAAAAAGAACATACCAATGTAATGCTTTGCATCTCTTTTTGAAGTGCTGTGAAGTTCATCTGCACGTGCACGGAGTTCTTCATTGCAACGCCACATAGAAAGCTGCCAGAGACAGTATATTATATTAAAAAAATGGAAGTTTCAATCAATCCAGGGACCGCTAAAAGGTTACTGCTGCAGTGACTATTTCTTACCTCAAACATGAGATCCTCAATCTGGGAGAAGTACAAATTAGCAGCCATCATTCTAGCTAATAAGCATACATCCCTAGTAACTTCAGGAGTTACCCTTGGGTTGCCTGACATAACATTTAAACACGTCTTAATTGCATTATATAAAATAACAGAATCCACCAGTTCATATTTGAAACACTCACTGCCTGCACTTTGACTATCAACTTGGAAGAGGAATTTTAAGAAGAGTGGTTCAAGATCTAGATATAGTAAATAAAGTATTTACTGGCTCGATAGTTTATTCAAAACAAATAACTATAATTGTGTTATTTTCTCTGATATGGAGATAAACGACAGGTGTAGATTCATAAAGAAATCAGTTTGTTCACTCATTGATTCTCAATGTGAATAGGAAATTAGCTGCTTTTATCAACCACAAAGGGAAGACCGTAATCCTGCCATTCCAGACTTTTACATTAATAATTTGGATGCATACATTAAGAAAAGTTTCGATTTATATATGGATACTTGTGGAATGAAGTACTTGATAAAGCTTATATGAGACAGCCTAACAAAAATGCACAATTGGGACAGCCTTGTCTATTCATTGGTTTTTTATTAAAGAAGATATTAGATTATGCCCTGTTTCTCAAAGAATGCAAATAAAGAGAAGCCAATATTACTCTTGCATTAGAAATTAAATAACAATACCGTCACGATCCCCACCCATCCAAGAAGAAAATTGGATTAGAGGGGCATTATAAGGAACCCGCTCATTTATTCCAATGTTTTTCAAAGCAGTGTCAACGCGCCGTAAGAATTTTGGCACCCCCTTCCAAATCGTTTCATGGAAGTAACTCGTTCCTGCCCTCATCTCATCTTGAGGAGTAGGAGGATTCCTTCTAATTTCATCCGTGCGAAAAGCAGCTTGTATCTACATGGACAAAGGATCAAAAGATAAATGTGAAGAAAACTGAAAGAGTGCAGGAAAGGAAACAAAATTTCAGCAATTTCTCAGTTAGCCTGCAAGATTTTTAAAAAATGTAGTCTAGAGAGATTAGTAATGACTTCATTAGTGTCAAGTTTTAATTAATTACTCCCTAGAATGCACCGGCACTCTCCTAGCACTGGAAAGTCATGAGATGCACCGACACTCTCCTAGCGCCAGCAAGTCGTATCAAACACCGGCACGTTGCTGACACATATTAAAAATGTCAAGTGGTGTGTCCGAATCCTTGTTTGGTTTTGTACATTTGGACACGTTGCTGACGCGCTAGAGATACATCATGTCCGACATTGACACACGCTAAAGCGCCAAGTTGAGCGTTCAAATTATTTTTTGGTTTTGTACAATTGAACACATTAACAAGAAGCTAGAAGATACAGTCGGATGTTGGAAGATATATACCAAAACAAATTACTTTACAATATAAAAATCGAAAAAACTAATTTATTTTAAGTAGGGTGTCGGGTACTTGTTATGTCGGTAGTTTTATGAAAATTTTCATGGTGGCTGTCCGACACCCATGTCCGAATCAATGCTTCCTAGATGACAGCAATATGATAAAGTCAAAATGTGTCTTGATATTCTCCAAAAGTCAAGTTATTTAGTTATTTAATAACTTCGGTGATGAGATGACCTCAGTAGCTCACTTCTTAGACATTACACCATAAATTGGGGATTTATTTATTTTCATCTACACGCCTCACTAAGAAGCATTTTAGGAAATTTGGAATTTTAACATCTTTAAAAATCGATTTCCAAATGAGTTCCATGGTGCAGTTGGAAGGTCACAAACCAATGCATGGTGATACTTATGTTAATGCAAATGCTTTAAAGTTAAGAATTGGTTATAGGAGGGAGCGACATAGATGTGTGTGCACGTGTGTTTCAGGGGAGGTGATCAAATTTCTCAGCTTTGATGGGGCATGAATCTGTAGGTCAGACTTGGCAGTATATTAAACTTACCAATGCGTAGAACCTATAGGGGAACCACTAGTAACTTTTTTTGTGTAATTTGTTACAGGAAAGCAGATCCGGATCCAGTTGGAGTATAATTTGAGGTTAACAAAATAATCCAGTGTGCATAGTTAAAAAATAGACATTATTCCGGAATCACACAATATAATGTGATTTTTGACTTAGACCACAACAGAGAACTCTTAAGAAGAACGAGCATAAGTTACATCCAACATACAAACAGCATACCTCTCTTTGTAACGCCTCATCAAGCTCCTGCTTATCGTCAGGATTAATGTCTTTGGCATTTAGCTGAGTCAGACAATCTCGAATCCTGGAAACATGCGAATGGAAGAGGTAAGCATGTTCCAAAAATTTAACTAGGTATGAATAATAATGTACAGGTGCCTCTCGATGCCCTAACATGTAGGTAAACAATGAAATATATATTTAAGCTACTTTACATTAAACCAACATTAATCACAAACCTTGCATGCTTTTGAAGCAAAGATCTACGAACAGCCTGAGTAGGATGTGCTGTAAATACTAAATCAACCGTCTGATTCTTCAAAGCATCAAAAACTTCTTCAGGAGTCTTGTTCAGTTGTCCTACAAGCCTCTTTAAAGTCTCTTCAATATCCGATTCAGTTGTTGCAGAGGCCTCATCAGAAAAGTCCTGCTTTTTAAGCTTACTTCTACGTCTGTATGCAATCTGAACCTCTTCAGCCAAGTTGGCTAAATTAAGCATGTTGGAAAAAGATTTTGCCAGCACAATAGAATCCCCAGCATCCAAACTCGTAAGGACTTTCCCGAGCTCTTCCAGTTTCTGTGGATCACGCGACCCTTCATACTCCGCAGAGAGTTCGTAGCATTCTTGAACCTTATCCATAATCAAAGTCACAAAATAAGTTTCACAAAAACTCAAACTGACACCAGTAAAATTCCCAACAGATGCACATTCTTTGACGTCGATAAAAACTTCAACAATGTTTTTAGTAGCATTTGTGCAAACTTCAAGGTTAAGAGTTTTGTACTGGTGAAGTATTAAAGAAAACCAAATACCATCAGCTAATAAAACAATATATATAGCTTTAAATAAGAATTAGCAGCAGAAAGCTGTTTATTTAACAAAAAATGTAAAGTTAAATAATAGCTACGATAAAACATAATTATGAACCAAAATTGGAGTTGTACAAAGCTACAAAGTCTTATGACAGTATTGCAGTTAAATCAAGGTGAAAACAAAACCATGCACGAGCAACATTTAATAGGTTAGAAATATTAAAAAATATTTCAAATGGGTGTCCACCGATTAAGCTTACTCCCTATTCACAGAATAAATAAAGAAAATAATTCAACAAATTGCAAGTGGGATTCCAACAAATTAGGCATTTTTCACTAAACAAAACAATAGAATCAATG